AGTATAGAGAATCCACCAACACCAGCCAGGTGCAACCTCCTCCTGTGTGTAGGGACACACATGGATTTCACACTCATGGGAATGCAGTGCCTATAACATGCAATTTGGTGCCAGTATGTCAAATCCTTAAAGTACTTAGAGTACTTTTTATAATTGGATTTTAGAACAAGTCCAAGTCAGCTGATGAATGTATCCGAATCTTTTCTTGAAAGTAAAGTTTTAAAAACTTCAATATAGCCTCTGTTTTTCTCCCAGGTGTATGAACATACTGAGTATCCTGTTGTTTTGAGACCATCACAACCCCATTACAAAATTATTTGTGGGTGCAGGTCTCTGTCAGTACAAGGTGATCAATTGTTCAGCATCTGATGCCAGCTGGAACCATTAGCCCCCACTCCTGAGTGAATTATGAACATTTTCTGGTGACCTGCTGAAGTAGCAGGGCAGCTATTGGGGCTTTAAAAACTCCCAACCTCCCACAATTAGCTGCTCGTGCAGTTTGGCAGACAAACAAGGATGGGTATTCAATAATAGGTCTGGCTGACCTCCAACTTTCTCACCATCCTTTTTCCACAGCTTTCGGGGATAATGGGGAACATCCTTTACCTCCTGCCCCCTGTTTCCAGAGAAATAAAACTCTCCCCACCTTTTAATTACTTATGTCACCATCATTCAGATTCAATAGATTTCTACGCATCCATACTCAAACATAAGAGGCAGTAAATAAAGACAGTATGACCCTATAATATCCATAACACATAGCACACATTCTCAGCCACACTCAGTGACTCACATTATTGGTGTGAACACAAAAAGAAATACCAATGCCATAATCTATAAATTCATGTATGACAGTAGGACAAATGATTGGCACTGCAGGGGGAATGGTACAAAGTTGTGATGCACAGGAACTGTCTGCCTCTATAATACCATCTCAGGTTAATGAGCATGTGTTGGAATGATTTTCCACCTGGGTTAATCCCCACTAAGGGCACAGGCCTATCTAGGAGGATACACCTTTCTACCTTGGCTACCTGTCACATGCAGCGGCTCAGATACGTAAATTAGGATTTCTAATCCAGCAAAGTGTATTTGTGCAAGTGTTGTTCATATGACTCAGGTCTCTGAAACAAATGCGCATAAACCTGAAGATATACAGTATTTTCTATCCACACAACTGCCTTGCCACTCTGTGCTATTCTTTCGCCACCCTGACCAAACTCTTGGAGAGTATCACTGTTCTAAAAACAGGAAGGATTGGTCACTGATTCAGCAACAACCTGTCTCTTCTACCGATGTCTCCTGATTGACAGCTGATGCCTCACTGTGCCAGCAAACACCAATGCTTCTTGATGGATGGCATCTGCTCCTTCTCGGAGGAAATCATTTCAAGTCATGGATAGGGTTGGGCTGCTCAAACGCTTACTCATGGACATCTGCCTGGGGATGGGTGGAAATGGGTGGTAGTGTGGGGGTGGCATGGTGCACAGAGAGATTATTGCCAGCCATCTGTGTAAAGAGGGGCACTGCCAAGCAGCTCCTTTTAGTTCCATGTTAGCTCATTCAAGCCACATTCAGCAGCAGTCTTTGGGAGGTTCCAGCATCATTACACACTCACCCAATCATTCATATTGCTTAGTGCCCTCACAGTGCACTGACTAATATTAGTGACTAATTAATTCAACCCAGTACATCCTAAGTTATTTTTATGTTCTGCACTACTTGCAATACTTCATATTACTATAAGACAGCACTTCCTACTTCCTGCCAACATACAGGTTCAATCAGATATCCAGACTTGCATATCTTCAGAGAGCACATGGGCCAGCATAGCTACAATCTTAGATGCGCATAAGTGTGGTAACTAGAGCTAAATCTATGATGTTGGCAAACCTACAGTAAATCCAACCTAACATCACAGGTTAATTTAAGGGAGGTGGGATCTCCTGGTAGGCACTAGCCACATCCAGGAGGGTGGGTCCTATGGGCTGCTGTGTCCACCATGGTAGCAGCAGTCCACGCGCCAGCCCACTGCAGCACACGGGTGGAGGTCTGGTGATGGAGAGCCAGTTGCCTGGAGCTATAGCCACATGTAGCAATCCCAATGGCTCCCAGCAGCATCGCCATACCAGGCATGGTCTTCTCAGCTGGAGGTGCCACAGACACATTATGGTAGGCCTGGGTCTGGAAGAAGGACAAAAGACAAGAGTGAAATCCAATCAGAAGAATGTTTTTCATCAGGCTACATGACAGCAGTACAGAAACAATACAACTTTCTTGCAAACAATGACCAAAGAGTTATGATTTGCTAATTTCCTAAATACATGGAAGATCACTTGTAGTTATAAAGACAGGACAGGATGTTTTCTAGCCCTTTTCCCAGAATGTCTGCTTTAAATGAGTATGCCACAATATGCTCAGCCCCCAACCCCCTCTAAACCCCCCACCAATCCCCAAGATATTAAAAACAAATCTTCTCTCATTTACCAAATTGTGGTCTGTTTCTTTTGACAAACAGAAAGCTCGTCTGTTTTGCAACATGGGCAATTTCCTTCATAGGCCCTTGACAATTATAAAAAGCACACAGGAGTAAATAATAGAAACTTCATGGACCTGTGTCACAGTCGGTTAAGAGCCCAATCCTATGGCGCGCTCACCCACTTCCCATTTCCCTTTAAAATGCAATGGATTGTCACAGGCTTAGATTACTCTCGTTTGTGGTAAACACCACAAAAAAGTGATTGTGTTTTGTGAGCTAAAACAAAATACATCCTACATTTACTGAAACAGTAGCCAGTAAATGAGGCTTCTTGATGGATGGCACCTGCTCCTCCTCAAAGGAAATCAATTGATGGTGGGCATATAATATGATGGCACTGTATTTCATCATCTTTCAGTCAGGTGTCTGTTGACATGCCTGACTGCGTACAGTAATGGCAACATAAGGCTTAGTGAAACCAACTTGCTCTATGCTCTGTTCCTGTCTGTAAAACTCTCACGTACCCATAAATCCAAACACCTCACTACATCAGTGGCTGCTCTCAGAATTGCCAGATTGTCAACTGTCACTTTCTTCTTATCCATAAGGACTGGTAAAGACGGATCCCACACATCATGCGGTCTAGGCTTCAAATCCAAGATATTAAGAAGGTTTTCTGCCTTTTTGTTTTAAGGGTGTTAAAGCAGAACAATTCCCTGGTGCAGATAAACTGCAAAGGCAACCCACTGCAGACGTCACCCCACTCAAATGTACCCCACATATACAGACAGCTTTAGTGTTACTATGCAACTGGGACAAAAAAATCAAGCATATGAAAATATTCTTCAGGTAATTCTAGTATCTACTTGACTCAAAATCTTGAACACAATTGTACTGATAAAGTAGCATTCAAACATACAAATCAGGTTCATCTCATTTTATAAATGTTCACACTGACAAAACAATTCATCTCATCACAATTTTCCAAACTGCTCACTCTCACCTGAAGCAACCTGATGTAGGTTGGAGTTAGTCGTGGGAGTCTGAGAAACATTTTTTGGGTGTTCCACGGTGGTCTTCCTGTTAGAACCAGTAAGGTAAAGAACCAGATAACACTTGGCTCTCCTTCACACACTCCTCTCCCTGGACTCCCAGGACAAGAAATCCACCCAGGGTCTGTCTAGGTCTGAGTGGACTCAGATGCAGGGCAGTCTGGTCAGCCCTTATAATACATCCTTCCTGCCTTTACTTAACAGGCAGGCTGCAGGTAGCAAATCTAAGGGGATTATAAGAACTGGCAAACGGGGACAAAGATGTCAGTCTAAACAGAAGGAAGGTTGAATAGGACTGTGTTATACTTCAACATTAAATTTTAAGTGGCATCATACTGAAATGATATAATCATGCTGTATTATTTTACAAAATTCTTTTGAAATTAATACCAAAGCAAACTGTAATTACTTAATTTAATGTAATCTTCCACACATTTGAAACACTTGTGAATATCACTACACAAAATATAAAAGATTCTTAATTCTGAATATATAAATTAATAATGTGATTTTTACACAATTTGGTAATAGATAACACTGTGCATTATGTCATCTTCAATAATTTGGATTCTCTCCGAATATTTTCAGGATTTTGTTGCTCGTTTGAAGAGTATGATGCCAGAACAGTATGAATCATATACCTATGTAATGGAAAATGATGAATGAGAACTTGTCGATTACTAATTTAAGTAAAGTACATTGGCATCGAGTGCAAATGATTTCTGACTTCAGCATTTCCTTTAACACCCTTATGCAGAAGGCCCAAGTCAATAGAAGTCAGAGCAGCTAGAATCTATTTGAACCGGCCAAGTAAGCTGATTTGGATGTTTTTCTGTTGATGTTGATAATGGCTTTTTCTTCCCCCTTTAAGCTTTTAATATCCTTCCTGGCCTCAGGGTCATCAGCTCAGAGTGAGGTCTTATAATGAGGTAGCTGTGCAGATAGCATCTATCTCTGTGGAGGAGAGGAATTCTCTTCAGCGGGAGCAGCCACAATGACCTTCTTCTCATCTCAGGTAACAGCACCCAATTATGCCACCCAACTCGTGCATGCTTGAATAATGTTAAACTCTGGCAATAATGCTGCAAAGTCATGATTCCCCTCTAATTTCATGGCCATCCATCACATCCACTGTCTTTCTAGGGTAGCATCTCCATGAGGCTGTACTTAGGCACAGCTTCTTTGAGCTGAATGCTTTGTAACAGAGCTCTTGTTCCTGCACTGAGAAGAGAGGAGACTGGCTGAAGGAGCCATGACCATGGACACACAAGTGGAAGGAAAAATGATACGTGTTGTTCAAGATTTTTTTCAAATAAAAATCTGAAAAGTGTGGCGTGCATATCTATTCAGCCACCCTGAGTCAGTACTTTTACTGTTCACCACATATCATTTTCCTTCCATTTCACAATTATGCGATACTTTGTGTTGATCACACAAAATCCCAATAAAATGCATTTATTTTTGTGGTTGTAACGTGACAAAATGTGGAAAAGTTCAAGGGGTATGAATACTTTTGCAAGGCACCGTACATAAGAAGGACAGGCAATGTCTCCTTTGCCCTTACTATCTCCACTGGCTAATGTCTGCAGAATGAATTCATGAACTTCAATCCGCCACAGCACTGGGTGCATCCATATGAGAAGAGGCCACAGATGGCAGCTCATGTTAATTGTTCACCATTGTAATATGACACGCTCACAGTTGTGTGTGTTACAGTGTACAGCAGAACCTGCTGGTCTCTACTGATGCATCCGTTCTGGAATGACAACGGTTCCTGTGAAGCTGGTATGGGGCAGAGAGCTCTCACTCAGTCGTTACAATGGCACTGTCCAGCCAAATTAATCCTGAACCCATCTGCTGGCAGTGAGCTATGGAAAAGCCCGAGCTGATTACCTGAGCTGTAGAGAGGTGTGCTAATGTGGAAGGTTAAGCAACTAACTCCGTGGGTAGTACTAATTCCCATGGTCATCAACAATATACTGTGCTGCTATAATCAGTTAATGGCCCAAAAAAAAAGTTGTGAAAAACATGGAGACTGTTGTTTATCACTCAACCCCAAAATAATACCTGCCAAGGCACCATTAGTTGCACCAGCATTACTTCCCTGAAGACTGTCAATTCATTGAGTGCAGCAAAGTAAAACAGCAAATTTGAAAAGGCACATGGAATAGCAATGTGGTCAAAAATCGATCTGTGGAGAGCATAGTGTAGATAATTGAGTAGCTATTAGGTTAACCGGCTGGGTTTAAATGTCATAACATCTGCAAACAACACAGCTCCAGCAGAGATGACATTTGCTTCTCTGTCAAGTACGGCTTTAGATGAGGAGGACATGTGTTAACAGCAATTAAATGCTCGGTCCATTTAAACTACATGAAAACCAGCTCGGTCAATGATGACAACTTCAAGCTTCCTCTGGGTGGATTGAAGGATTCACCTAGCTCAGGATTAACTGGCTTTGTCGTCTTCTTGTACAATATAATGCATAAAAATGGATTAGACAAAAGGCACAGATTAAAAGAAAATAAAGTATTTCATAAAGTATTATCAGTATTTCTGAAATGCAGTGTATAAGAAATTCTCAGGAGCTCCTGGGACAAATGACCCTTCAGTAGTGTCTCATTTTCACTGTGACTTGACAGTCACATGGGTGCGTTGTAGAAAGTTGTGTGTTCTTGTGTGTGTTCTTTGCTCCCTTCATTGGAAGAATGTCTGTCATCCAGTACTGGAACAGCAAACTGACTTGGTTTCCTCTAAAACACAAAAAGACAGGGAACAACATTTCAGTTATGCAGACAACACAAAACCAGAGGAGCAGTGAGTGTTTTCACCAATGATACTTATGTGCTGGTGGATTTTCTGCAAAATAAATTAATTCTCCTGCCAGTGTGCAATATACTTCCTACCTCTCCTGCATGTAAATGTTGAACCTAACAGAGCTGTCTCACACTCAAGACAGAATCTTTTACTTACTGTATTCTCAAACAAACTAGAGTAGAGTAAATCTGGCCAGAACATAAAATGGGCTGTATAAAGGGAGCAAGTCAGGCCACTGCCATTCATGAGAAAAACTTCAGGGTGCAGAAAAATATGCTCAAAGAAAATCTGTAGTAGACTGAGGGAGGAGAGCTAGAGTAAACCTGCTTGAAGGCTTTCAAAGCAAATAGATTAGGTCCTGCATGGATGTGCGTAACATTAAAATACAGAATGATTTATCAAGGTGGAAGCTAATTTAAAAATATAAGTTTAAACTGTCATATTGCAGCATTACAAAATTTATGAAATGCAGCGAGAATGCTAACCTAGCAAAGATGAGCTAAATGGAACACATCTTAAATGATAAAGATTAATTTACAAGAATATATTTTTCTGCTTTGATACAAAGTGCTGGTAGAGTTGCATTTAAAAACAGTGAAAGGAAGCATGACTCATACAATATGAGGCGGGTTGAGGGGCATTAAGAAAAGCTTTTAGGCAGCTATGGAGCAGGTGCATGGAGAGGTTAGGCACAGCAAAATTTGTGAGATACTGTAGCAAACTGATTTTTATGCTGTGTCGTCTTCGCCAGCAGGGACAGACTGAGACAAGTGTCACTTGGTGGCCAGCGAGATGGCACTGGCCTGAATCTCCTGGCTGGTCTCACTCTTATTCACACACACACGTGTCAGCAAAGTCCCTGCTGATCCTATTATGCAGAAAGCTAGCCAATCAGGCAACTGCACAAACACACACACACAGGTCAAAAAGTGTCTGGGGACTGAAGAGATGTTTTGGCTTTTGACAGAGTTAAGGTAAGAGGAACAAGCTCAAACATGTTAGGTGACCTGTGTGTCAGCTGGAACATGCACAGCAAACCAAGGGCATATATGTACAGGTAAACACTAATGAAAGCAAGTAAGGGCAGGTACACAAAGATCAGTGTCAGGGCACACAGAATGGGAGGCAAGCAGAGGCAAGTATTCACCTGCAGGGACAGCTCAGTGAGGTTCCTGGGGCATATCCTTGCAAGAGGAGGCCAGTATGGACAGGGCAGGGTATGAATGCATGCAGCAGGCATGAAGCAACATTAAATACAAGTCAGGTTCTCATCACGTCTACTTCCATAACTAACCTTGTAACACTCTTCCTGGAAAATACAGGTTAAATGTTCAATGCTGTGCCCAACTGATGCATCACTGACCTGCAGACATGGAGTTGCAGTACAGCTCCTCTAGTGCCTTTTCCAGTCTGTCTCTTTCTCTTGAACAAAGGCCTTGAGACTGCAGAACTGCTTCAGGAGGAGAGTAGAGCTTACTTCAGCTGGATATGCGACGCAGTTCATCCACTGTCCCAGACAGGAGAGAAGGCTTGTCTACATGCAAAGAGGCTGAAGGACCACATAGGGCGTGAGAGGTGATCTGTTTACTAAAGGCTGCATTATTGTAACTTCAGTATCTAGTAGAGTGCAATTCAGCTGGAGCTGACAAAATAAAGAAATGTATATTCATAAATTGCACCTAATATACAGTTATATATACTTGACTCTGTGTCACCACAATAAAGGAAATGTTATAGTATAATTTTTTACTTACAAAACCAGACTGGGTGAATTATATTTGAGCTGTCTCACTCATTTACAAGACTGTGCTACTATATATAAAGCACCAAGGAGCGTTCTCTTATTCTGCTCACTGGTCATGGCCTAATCTTCAGCACACCCTGCAGATTAATGAACTTGTTTCTCTCAGAAAGTTCAAAGCCTTGATTAAAAGCTCACTGACTGAAGAGTGCGACTGTTTCCCATAGGCTGCATTTTGCATCATCAGTCTGTTGCAAAAAATCCTTCTATTAAGCAATTTATTTATTAACATTTATATTAAACACATTGCACCTTTAGTATTAATAGGACATATTTGCATGGTTTTCTTATAAATGAATGTTAAATACTGTCAATCAAGCTAAGCTGTTGCAAATGGCCACCAGCTGTTTGCAATAGCTTTCATTATTATGCAGAATTATGTTTGCAAACTTAATCTATGACTGGCACCAGCTTTGTGTGTGCTAACACCCTAAATGAAGAAGAAAAAAAAAATCACACTTTCATGGCATTTTTAATATGACTTATGTACGATATTAACAGTAAATGAGGGATATTGGAGCAGTAGCTTTAGCAGTGATTACAATATTTAGTCCAGAAAGAACAACAATAAAACAACCTCTGCACAGTACTTACAATCTGACAACTAGATTTCCAGTGTTGTCCTGAGAGTCTGACACCTCTGCAGCTCTCCTCCCGTTATCCTCCACCTCCCCATCATTTTGGAACATGTACCCCAGGGCAGCCTCCCGGGGCAGACCCATAGAGAGCAGCTTTTCTTTGTGCTGCCTGTTCTTCAGCTTTCTCTTCTTGTTCTTGCTAATATACCCTTATCCACAGGAGCTTGACTGAACTGACTCCTGCTGGACTCGCTCCCTGCAGCTGCTCCATCTTGAGTCTTGATGAGGAGTTGGTTTCCTTTTCCTTCTTCTCCTTTTTCTCTTCTGCTCTTCTTCCTCGTTATCTTTGTCTAGTTCTTCGTTGCTGTCGTGGACAATCTCCTCTGTGGGCAACAACTGTCTTGGTTAGTTTCAAAACATCATTAAAACGTCATCCATTACAGTCTTGATAAGCACCTGCACTCAAGTATAAGAGGAACAGATCTAGTTGGTCACCTTGCAATCTGGAAGAAGCTAAAGAAATGTTGAAAAAGACTAGCTAAAACCAGTAGGGCATCTGAATTCCAGTAGTGTCCAATAATGTGGCATCGAGGGCTAAGAGACTGTGCGTTTCCCTCTAGCCATTCACTATGCCAGCTGTTTTCGCTAATGAGGTATTCTGTCTTTTCCACTGACTGCATTCTATTCACACAATAGAATGGTGTCTCATTGAAAAGCAAACAGACAAACTAGAGACCACAGGTGATTAATTAAAATACAGTAGAATCTGTATACTGTGATGTACTGCAGTGCCTCTTGACAGGATAGTACACAGATTCCTGTATTTACTCATTTGAATGTGTTCTGCAATGATCGTGCAATAAAATCTACATCTCCCACACTGCTGGTAAATGTCATTTATTATGAATACAGCACCATGAAAGATTAATTAAATATGGGAATGAGGTCAAGGTCAAAGTGTTTATTGTCATATGCAGTTAGGAAACGTGTTTCCCTGTACAATGAAATTCTTACTTTGCCGTCCACATGAATGCCACAAAAATACAAGTGCAATATAAAGTAGATAAATAAGTACCACAAAATCTAAGGCACTTTAAGCAACAAATGCAGCAATATAATAAAAATATATAAGAATATAATATAGAAAGATGATGAAAATGATGTTGAGGTTTGGCATTAGGTTTTCATTGTCCCCCCCACACACACACACGTTTCTCCCACCTTCTGGAAATCGTCATTCTGGCTCTTCATGTTCTGTTTTACCTTTGCAGTTTGATGTTTTTTTTTTTTTTACAGTTTACTGTTAAAAATAAAATTTTATCACAGCGTTAAATCCCTTTTATGTAATGTCTTATTACAGTCTTTAGCTTATCCAGGAATGACTACAGCTTAAGTGAGACCCCATGCATAAAAGAGGCTCTCCACCTTGTTGCACCTGCCTCTCCTTAACAACTTGAGAGGCCTTTTAGAGCTCAAAGAACCCAGCTCCCATTGAAGTCTTAGTGATTTGTTCACATTTACAGGAAGTAGACTGGCCAGCAGCCAAGCAGCTGAGAAAGTGGCAGTGCACTGACCAGAAAAGTGGGAAAAAAGAGCACACAAAAGAATCCACACCTCATTTTAATCTAACATGGGCTGGAGTGACAAACTTGTCTTTATGAGCATTAGTTTAGCAAAAGATGAAAGTGAACCTGAATGTGTTGTCATCATGTGGTACACAGTCTTGGAACCATGTACAGTGGGAAGAAAAAGTATGTGAACCTTTTAGAATTTCATGGTTTTCTGCAAAAAATGTCATCTGATCTTCATCTAAGTCAAGAGTACTGATGAATATAATGTGCCTAATATAAGAACACAAAAAAATCTGATCTTTAATGTCTTTGAGAACAACCATAAAAACCTCATAGTGCTACAGGAAAAAGTATGTGAACCCTTGAGTTAAAGATCTCAAAAAAGCTAAATGAAGTCAGGTGTTAGCATACCTGGAGTCTTGTTAAGAAAATGAGTTTGGAGGTGTGGACTAGAGCTACTTTGACAGATAAAA